ATTGGTGCAAACAGCAGGCCCACTGTCCGTAATGTTGGACGGAGCCTAACAGTGCCTGTGTTCACACTTATGTGCCTCTACCTGGGTGTTGCTTTGGAATCCTCCAGTCAGTGAGGTAATGAAATAAATGTACTCTTTACATTTCAGCCGTGGTTTTGTGATTGTTCAAGCTGCCTGCCTGTGTCAACTGACACAGGCACCTAAACATCTTTTACTTGCACTTTATCATTTTTTCTTACAGCAATTCTAAGGAATAGGTCTAGATAAAACACACTATTATGATCATTAGGTCATGTCACTGCATCTCTTTAGTGATAACTTACCAGATTTTCTTTGTATTGCAAAACAGCTCCAGCCATCTTTTTACACCAAAACTTTGACAGGTGGAAGGTAAATTCACTTTTCATAGAATAGGCCAAGTCACTCCTTAGCAATATAGGAAAACCATACTCAGCTTTCTTATGAATTTAAACAGTGATCAGGAAAGTGCTGCATAACCACATCCACCCTTAACCATAACCGAAGTGCAGCCAAGTATGCAGGATTCACAGGGATAGAAAGCACAACACTGGGAGGCAGCGTGACACTGCAGCCTAGTGGGTCCATCACTCGTGGGACAAATAATTCCCATGTTTCAGCTCTTTGCATTAAGGCTATTGATGTGCTTTGCATGAAACAGTCATAACTGTACGAATTTAGGATAGTTTATTTATTTTTCTGTAAGGCAGCATAATGTGAATGGATATCTAACCACATTTTCAAGGCTTTCATTGTAATTCAAAATCCTTTACATTCATATTGTTTCAGTCGTTCAATTACTTGACAGGGCCTAAAACATAAATGTTCTGCTTTTTAAACATGCAGTATCAATGTATACATGAAAGAAAAATTAAAAAGATGTTTTTGAGACTAAGCATGCAAAATATAACCTCAAGCTACAAAGCCTTTTATCCACTAAAATTTGAAAAAAGAATTTCAGAGGGATCATCAAATTCATTAGAGGCACAGAGATAATTAACATAACCTAATTAATCTCCTTCTTGTATTGAGCTGCCTGTTAAGCAGTTTAGTGCACACTAGGTGGCAGCCTCAGTACAGATGATTTCATTGTACTGCTTGCTCTCCTCCAAGAAAATCCGAAATTGAGAAATATCTTTTAAGTCAGTAGTGTGTTTTTGGAAAAATGGAACTGGATCGTGGGCCAAACTGGGAGATGCTTAGGTCTGCACTGTGCTTAGGTTCTCTCTGCAGAGTCACCATACTGTACATAGCATTAAGCAGTGAAAGTCTCATTTTGAGTTAAGTTCAAGTAACAACATTGAAAAATGCAAAAAAAAAAAAAACCACCAAAAAACCAACCAACCAAACAAAAAAACCAAACCCAAAATATTCAGTAATAAATTTTTTGTGGGTTGGATTTCAAAACATGGAAATGAAAAAGACATCTCTGTGTGTCCCCTGCAGTATAGACAAAGAACAAGATGAAGTTGGTCGGGAAAGCCCAACAGAAATACTTACAGATAAAATTTGATCTCCTCGCTGCAGTTCTCCACTGAGATCTGCAGGCCCACCTGCTAGGATGAAAGACACGAAAATGCCTTCCCCGTCTTCACCTCCCACAATGTTGAAACCAAGTCCTGTGGAGCCCTTATGCAGGATGATTTTTCGAGGCTCTCTGTTTAGAAACAAAATGATAATGTTTATCCATTTAAACCTCTTATTGTGTATGTATTTTTGATAGCATCTTAGGCATAATATATTTTTCTTAAGACACAGTTGCCTGTTATTGCTTAAAGAAACCATTTAACAAATGACAAAAATCTGTTAACTGGTGAGCAGATGAGGTAGGAATCAACCAGCATTATTTTATTTTTTTTCCTCATGGTTGAATCCAAACATCTCTGTTAATTTTAGCCCATTGGACTCATCTTCACTATGTTAAGTGACAGATTTATTAAAAGAAAAAACAAAACTGAATATATTTAATAATCTAATTTATAGTAATACTATATATAGAACGAGAATCAATATTTATATGGTACCTTCTTATTTTAAGTTCTAGTTTTGCTTTTGAAACAAATGAACAAAGAAAAAACTTAAAATTCCAGGCAAAGCAATGGCAGTTTTATCTGATCCTGACAGATTTGGAGCAAATAACATTTATATGATCAAGCTAATACAGCAGAATCTCATTAAAAACTCTTTTTTGACATTCTCAGGAGCTTGCAATTGTAAAGTCACACTGCAGCTTTATCACTGAACCAGCCCAAGGGATACCTGCTATTGCTGTACTTGTTTAAAAAGTTATTAATTATGATAGAAATCGATAAATAATAATAGGTACATCTCATACAGCACTTTTCTTCTGCAAATTGAAAATATGCTCCAAAGGATGTAAACATAACATGCATTTTACTGATGGGAAAATTTATGTCCAGAAAGAGATAACTTCCTAAGCAATCATCTTTGAGAAAGGGTCCCAAATATTATTCCTATTCCCAATCTTTACATATGAGGCCTCAGATCTGTCTGTCCCTTGGAAACACAAGCACGCACAACCCTGTATACACACACCTGCTACATTTATTGGTACTTACCCCGTTTCAAATCTCTCTAACAATTTAATTTTTAGAAAAAGTGTAAATGATGTTATATTAGTATGTGTAAATTTTACTCCCAGCCCTGCAAGTACTCCCAAACACATACATGTGTCTGTGACTCCTCCCAGAGAAACAGGGTGTTCTACTCATTCTCTATTTTTACAAATAAAAGTTACCAGCAACACAAAGACACACCATTTACAGCAACATTTTCCAGAATGCTTCTTGTATAAACGATTCAATATTTCCTTCATACTATATGGTACTTCTACATCACATAAATGGCTTTTTCATTTCCATTTTATTTTTAAAGAAAGAAAAAAAATTGGAGAGAAGAGATTAATCAAGGGATGCTTTATTTCATGCAAGTTAAGTCTTATGGCTGTAGACATGTAGACTTTATCTTGACATGGAGACTTTATCTTGATACGTTACTTCAGAAATCAGTAGGTATTTGTTCATCTTTGCCCAGTGCTAATGTCCAAATTGGATCTCCAACTTGCTCATGATCTTGAAATAACATCTCAACTTTCCAAAACGTTAATCTGAAGCTTAATATTTTTGAAAGAAAAAGCTAAAGCAAAGTATTAGTCCTACCCTGTATGGTCCTTCATCTCTTAACTTTTTTAACAGTGTGAAGTCAGAAAACAACCTTTTAAAAATACAGCTGTGAGAAAAAGATATATTGTCTTGAGTTTGTGTATTCTTGAAGTATTTTTAACAATCAGAAAATAAAGTCAGAGTTCCTTTTCTTTTGGATCATGGCTGTTGATTTGCCTTGTAGCAACCCCTTTAACACCTTCTTAAATATATGCAGAGTAGACGTAAAATAATCCAGATCTAGGAAGTCTAAACAGGTTTTTAATTAGAAGTGTGGCCTGGGGGTTGGAGTAGAACTGGGACAGTAAGCTGAAGGCATGATTTCTCTTCCCTGCTTAGCCCATGTGCTGCTGAGTGATCTTGGCAAGTCATTTGTTCTTCCAGCTTCAATTTCCTCATGTCCAAAATGATACGGTAACACTTGTCATCTTTGTGTCCTACACATCAGAAATACTTTGCAAGAGCTGAGCTACTGCCATTTATTATTTACCTGAATATGGAGGAAAAAGAGGCAGCAGAGTCAAACCAATCTATTTGCATGCTCTGCTGGTGAGAAATCAGAAGAGATCTTGTTCAAAATGAAACTGAGTATTTTCACATATGACAGGCAGCCTGGATCAAATAGTTGAAAGCCAGCGCTATGGGCAAAACTAGGTCAATACAACTGGGTATCTACTGAATAGTAAGCTGTGCAGCTGAACAAAATGTTGGCCCAGTTATTAATCCTTGTCTCTGATCAAGTCAGCAGATTTATGCCTAAAATGCTGCCAGTGCTGTTTTATAATTTTGGCCTTTTGACAGCAAAATTCACATTCTGCTCTTGGATGATTATGTTCAGAGGAATCTCAGACAATAACAAGGAAATGTCAGAAGCTGTGATTAGAATGCAACGAGTTTCAGCTCCTGCTCTTTTGTCTAATCAGGTCATTTTGGCCATGACTCAAATTTGGCTGTATAGAGGCTGACCATCCATAACATTTTTTTATATTTCTTTCATATCTGAATATCTGACAGGATCTGAAAGGTGAACTCAAGAACACACAAGTGTTGTTTTCATCATTACAAGAATAACCTTTAGCCATGATTGTACTACAAAAACTTATGAAGTTAAATTAGGAAAAACATTTCTTAAGCGAACAAACTACAATGCCAGCCACTGTCCAGGAGATGTTTTGAGTAATGCAGAAATTAGTTATCTGTCAGTGCTTTAGCAACACTCACTGTAAAGGCTAGCTTTAGTAAACTGAAGATAAGATGTTACAAATTTTATTGCCCGATATAAAAGTTTACAGTCAATTCTAAATATGATGTTTAAGGAGATCTAAGAACAGATGCTCCAATTTTTCTTGAATATGTGGGGAGTATCACTAAGAAAATCTCCTTTGCCTTTATTAAAAATCTTTATTAATGTAGTTTTAACACATGAGACAAAATGCAGATAAATGCTGTAAAGAGGGTAAGGAATCAAACACTTAAAGATGACATGGGGATGGGAGAGTTAGAAGTGACAGAAAAGTAACTTAAATTTGAATGATGTTTTCTTGCAGTAAATGTACTCAGTAAGAATGTGTAGTTATCTGCAGAAAACAGCAGTTAAGGCCAAGGTAATTTCAGGGCAACTTATTTTAAAATGAGGGTGGTTGAGCACTGGAACAGGCTCTCCAGGGAAGTGCTCGCAGCACCAAGTCTGCCAAGGTTCAAGAAGTGTTTGGACAACACTTTCAGGCACATGGTTTGATCCGCAGGATTGTCCTGTGCAGGGCCAGGACTTGTACTTCAATGATCCTTCTTGGTCCCTTGCATCTCAGGATATTCCATGATTCCATGAAAATGTTTTATTTGGAGACAATAGATGGCACTCTGTAGCTACCCTGGAAAAAGGAAGAGTCGGACATCCAGCGTTTCTGAATTGCATGTTTCTGCCTCCAGCTTTAACTACTTATCCCATTTGCAATTTCTTCTGTGATAAACAGGGCTGAAGGTAAGCTTCTAGGTGCTAAAAGAGTGTACTAGGACTTTAATTCCATGCGTGCATGTTTTATAGCCTCCTGCAGCTTTTTGCCAAATACAAACAGAGAAGAGCAGCAGGGGAAATCAAGCAGAAATTTGAAAGGATTGTGAGATGAAAACATTCCTGGACTGACAGAAGGCAGCAGAAGGGAAGGGGGAAAAAAAAAAGCAAAAAAACAAAGAAAAGAGCAAAGAAAAGAGAGAGTAGGATAAAGGGAGACAGTGCATCTCTAAAAGAGAAGAGGGAAGGAATTAAAAAGGTAGGGAAAGAAGAAAGGAAGATTCACATTAATAGAACTAAGAGCAAAAGAGGAAATAAAGCGCTGCAATCCACACAAATTTACAGGCTGAGAAATCAATGGCAGAATCAATTTGGATGGACTTGGTTATTTGCTTCAGGGAATGCAAAAGATCAGATTCTGTGAAGCACATTATAAACTGCAGGCCTGATGTAAGAGCAAAGGTTTACTAAATTATTATTTGAAATTGATAAGTAGTAACAAACCAGAGTAGGTAAAATGTCGACACTTAAAAAAATTTCTTTTGTCATAAAAATGCAATTACCGAAAATAAATTGAGGTGCAGTATTTTTCTTCTTAAAAGATTTTTTTTTGTTCATGTTTGTTTAACTTGTTCATTATCTTGAAAACAGCAAGTACTTTTTATTTACTACATTTGTACTGAATATTTGGCTTGATCAATTTGCTTTTTAACAAACAGAAAATGACAAGATAAAAAATGTGAGTATCCCTATCATTCTTCTATAGATGTGAATGCATAGTAATTATAGATTTAATTTAAGAGATTAAAGCTGGACTGATAAATGAAGAGCTTTTTAAAAACAAGTAATTCTTATAATAAACTGAAAGAAAATCCATGTTTAATTTGCTTATTTTGTGCTGCTTTCTACGTTAAAGAAAAGAGTCAGTTTTAGTATTCATCTCACACTGGCACAGTTCTGTCTTTGTGTTTCTTTTGCACCATCTACAAAATTGGAGTCCTGACACGATTTTGTGCTTTTTGAAACATCTACAGGAATATGAAGCACACTGAGTGCTTTCAAATAACAGACCGTAGAGACTTCAGTTATGTACAATCAATTAGGTATCCCAAGTCTGCAGAGACTTAAAAATATGGTTTTGATCTTGCTTTGTCTGCAGATTTTTGTTGTTTTGGTTTGGTTTTATTTGGTTTTTTGTTTGTTTGTTTGTTTGGTGGTTTGGTGGTTTGGTGTTTTTTTTTTGTTTGTTTGTTTGGATTTTTTCAAAAATGCTGCTTTCTTCACAAAGCATGTTGAAAGCATACATACATTTATGCACATGTTGATTTGGTGTTACAATCACACATGTCACAGAAAGCCCAAAAGAATATTTATTTATCTTACTGCTTGCATTAGGGTAGGATCAATAGATGACTAAGGCTCCACAACCTCTGTGCAAAGCACTACACATATATAATGCAAAAGTCTCCATCCCAGCTACTTAAAAGTAGCAAATAGCAGGAGGGAAAATTGAAGTAGCGAGAAATTGTATTAGTTGGTTAAAGTCACACGTTACTATTACATCGGGGGGAAGAGCGTGCAGTGATACTACAAGGGGTCATGGCTTTAAACTGAAGCAGGATAATTTAGATTAGATATTAGGAAAGTAATCTTTACTGTGAGGGTGGTGAGGCACCAGAACGGGTCCCTCAGAGAAGTTGTGGTGCCCCATCCCTGGAAGTGTTCAAGGCCAGATTGGATGGGGATTTGAGCAACTTGGTCTAGTGACAGATGTCCCTGCCCATGGCAGGAGGGCTGGAACTAGACAATTTTTAAGGTTCCTTCCAATCCAAACCATTCAGTGATTCTATGAAAAAAAACATCGCAAATCTAAGGGATCAAAGCCCTTTCTCTTGAGCGGTATGAATATAGTGTTTGGCTTCTGACAATTCATTGTGTGAGCAATGAACTACCTTTAAGTCATTTGGCTAATCAAGCCATTTCTCTTTCAGAACAATACTTCTCATTTTCCTCTCATGATTCAAAAAATACCGATAAATAACTGCATATTTATTTCTGGCAACCAGAGGACATTCATAATGGAAGGACCTTAAAAAAGGTGGCTCAAACAGAGATCATTCTTCACAGCATTTAACACAGGTAGTTTGTATGGACAGAGTATGTTCAAGCATATGTGATGTTTTAAAATCTGATTAATTACAGAAAAGAGAATATGAAATCTTAAGTGGTTGAGGCCTGAAATGCGTATACGCACTTTTTTAAAAGACATCGAGTTCTGGTGAAACCAAGCTTTCCTTATATAGATTTTCTTTCATACCTTCTACAAGTCTGCTTCATGCAATTAGAGAAAAATCTGTCTGTATTGCTCTCATCTGCTGTCTTATTGCAATATCACTTCTATTACATCTTGGTTTTTACTCTTCCCCTTGTTATTCCACTCTTAGGCTTGGGAAAATCTTTCCACTTTGATGTGAAACAGCTCTACCCCTAACTTTCCTCCCCCCTCCCTCCCTCTGCCTTTGTTGCATGGTTTCCAAAACACCAGGACCAGGCAGTGGTAGGGAGCTGATAGACCTTCCTTTCTCCAATTCCCAGTCCTATACCACCTCAGAGCCTGGAAGAGCTGCACGCATCAGTGATGCACATCAGTGTTGCACCTGACCCTGATTGTGAGGTCTGATCCCTGATTGTGATGTTAGTTAGTACTATCCTGTATTAATTTTTTAATAACAAAAATAAGGAAACCTTCTTTTTATCTACTGCTGTCACACTGACCATCACAGTCAAGGGGGGCAACATCACATTCGTAAACTGAGATAATGCTTTGGCCTTGTGCAGAGTGTTAATTCTCACTACCTGTAATTGATTAGTGACTTCTTATTTCATTTTAGTAAATGTTGGCATACTAACAACTAAGCATTCTGCCTTTAATCAGATGTTCATTTATCATATCACATAATAAAATATCATTTTTCCTTACCACAGTTACCCATTCTGCTTGAAAAAGGTATTTTGTCCATTTATTTGACTACGGATTCCTTAGCATTTCTTGTTGATTGAATGTTGGCATTAACTGTAGAAGCAATGCTTTATTCTAATTTTAATACTGACTAAAATTTTAATGTATTTATTCTGCAAGCATCATGTCTAACTTGTCATAAACTTTGAAGTATATTTAATACAAGGGAACCTACTGGGAGTCAGGCTTCAACCTGACTGATGTACGCGTGAGTGCACTGGCTTATAAATGTGCAACTGTATTTGTTTTGTAGGAAGACCTCTGGACTTTAACAGTCTTTTATTTTGTCTTTTGTAGAGGAATTAAAGCCTGCACACCAGGCAATGTTTTCCGCCTGCAGATAGCAAGCTGGAATTGGCATACAGGAATAATCTCGTTTGAAAAACTAGTCTGTATTCTTGCCATGACACCTGACATTTACTTTAAATGCACAGGAGTATGTCTCCTGTGTTTGAGAAATCTCATTGATTTCCAGAGCAATAATGTAGGACAGCTGATATGCTCTTTAGTTCTATAAGGGACATGATTATTCCTGTCTGCTTGTTCATTTATACTTTGTCTCATATAATCACTTGTCTCTCTTCCCTGTTCCAGGAGGTGCATGATTTACATGTCAAAAATCAAAATAAATCCTGAAAACTGCATCTCTGTTCCACTTGCTATACCCAACATAGGCAACTCTACACTAGAAAGGTTTGTTTTGTATTCTGCTTTTAAAAATTATTGGTTCCATATTGAAACCACTTTTCTGTAAACTATTACTTACAGCATTCGATGGCTCTATTTACCATGAATGCTCCAGCTTTACAGTTTGTAAACAATTGAACTATCAGGAGAGAGGAAGCATTCAAAGGCTCAGACAATATCTAAAAATAGCAGTGCCCCTAAGCCATGTTTTGAAATATCAATACACAGACAGCTAGTAGCAAGCATCCAAAATTACTTTATAGAAGACACTTTTGAAACATGAAGTGGTCTGTAATATCTGTCCTATTCAGAATAAAAATTCTTACCTTTAGTCGTGGTTCAAATGCTGTTTATTTACATATAAATATTTATATATATTTCAGATACTCGGTCACATTGAAAAATAGGTGTAATATTTCTGTCAAAACACTCTTATCAAATAAGCTGGAATCCCAGTTTCTAAGAGATGGTTGGTAGCATACAAAATACAATTTAATCTGGATATCAACTGCAGAGAGAATAGCTATCAGACATCACTAACTTTACAGCTCTGTGCAATAGTACAGCAGGATTTCAAAAAAACTCAGGGCTTTGTTTTTAATCAATATTTTTCCTATTTTGAATACTTACAGCTAAGGTCGTTCGTTAAAACCAAAAACTCCAAACCTCAATATTTTTGAAATCAAACATTAGAGTTTTCTTGGTTTTTAAACCATGTAAATAAACCATTAGGGAAGTTACTAATGAGATCACATTAATGATGACCTCAAACACCCCTGAAGTTCATGCCTTTGTACACATAATAAATCAGTAAACCTCATGTAAAGTTATTACACTCTGAAGAATATATAGCTTGAATATAAAGAAAAAATAATCTTTAAAGACATCTTTATTTTTCCACCTTGCTATTAATTTTGTTGTTGTACATGAAGGCTACAAAAGTCCTCTCTAAAAAAAAAAAAAGATAAAATTGTTTTATGTATGAATCCATTACCTAATTGAAAAAACTACTCAAGTTTTTAAAAAAATCTATTCTGACCAGCTCAATTACCACATATTCAACAGTGTGGAAAGGACCAAATGCCAGTGAACGCAATTCCCCCTGTATTTCTTTAACCCTCCCAAATTTAATTTCTCATTCATAGGATCCAATAATTCTATCACTTCAGTGACTCCACAGTCAGTCAGACAGAGCCAGCATGCAGGGTACAAATGTCTGCATGTGCCAGGGATGCCTTGCGGGCAAAGTAGCTGTTTACAAAGTGCATCTCAAAAGCAATATAATGGGTCTCCTAAATACAGGACTCTATTGATGGAAACACAGTTCCTAAAAAAGAAAAAGAATTTTATTTTGACCTCAAAATTGTGTTAGCTATAAACATAATTGGCAGCATGAGATCCACAAAAACATTAGAATAAATCAAATTTTAACATAATGAAATATTTAGGGCTGAGCTGATTACTCATTTCTGCTCAGTAGTGGAACAGGTTCACAGTCCCACTTTCCTATGTGAAATGAAATACGATTCCGTGTAAGTTGATTAGTAATAATTACAAGCCAATATTCTTCTACCTCCTGAACAGCAGGAGACCTGTGGTGTCAACTGCAGATTTTCTGTGCTCTAATGATTCACACACAATATATGCAAGTTGTCTGTGTGTCCAGCACAGATTCTGTGATTTATCTAAAAATTCATGTAGACAGATTGATTTCCAAATTTCAGTCAGAGTTAAAAGCTACAGGATGCCTCTTGAATTATGGAGTCCAGTAGACCAAGTCAGAGACATTACAATAGAATTTCTTTCTTTAAATCTCAATTGAGCAAATTATTTTTTTCTTTCTCCTCTTTATTTTTTCAATAATGATTAACAAATCACTGTTTTCACCACCAAACTTGTTCTTGCAGTTCAGTTTTATTTCAAACGTCAATTTATTCATGAGTTGATTTGAAGAAAAGACAGGGGAATTTATTATGACCCTCTCTGTTGATTAGAGAGAAAAGGAAAAGAAATCCAAAAGGAGGGTGTTTAAGCACTGAGTCTGGTTGTCTGGAATTTGTGCCATCTCCACATCTGGTGATAGTCACAGCCTCACTGGGCAAGACCCTCAGCAATCTGATCTACCTTGAAATTGGCCCTGTTCTGAGGAAGATGGCTGGATGACGAGGACCTTATTTATAAAATTATCTTCCAGATGACAGCCCTTAAGCCGTATGTACCTTTACTGTAGGAATTTCATTATTCAGTCTAATTTTCAATGAATAATTACCATAGTCGTCTTACATATTTTAAATAAAGACTAAAAATCTTAGATCTTAGATCTAGATAAGAAAGAAAATAATTCTGAGAAAACCATTTCAGGCTCCACTGGATTATTTTACACATCTACCACTTCATTTTCTCACTGCACCACAGTACAGTTGTAACAGAAACCAAAATACAATAAGATGACATCTTTCCTCTGTGGAAACTTTGTATTCTCACTTTTATCACAAGAAAGAAATGCTTTGAAATATGACCTGAGAGCAGCCAATGACAAGTTATTATCCTTGCCTACTAAAGATTTTGAACAGTTCCACATTTCTATGTGGGAAGGGAGAAACAAATATGACATTTTATGTAAACTATGCCAGTCAATGCAAACAAAATCTGTATTTCTGTGTTAAATACCAGCATTTCTAATATTGTAAAGTTGTAAAAATATTAACTGTGGTTGTGAATTATTCACATTTTACCCAATTATTTTAGTTAAAATTGAGTCAGCCATGTACCCAGAGCTATGCTTCTACATTCATATACACAGATATACACCAGCACAGGATTAATATTCTCTATCAGTGCTTCTTCATCCTTGGTTTTGGACACTGCTTTGTCAAAACAAACTCACACATACATTAAGAAAACAGAGTAAGACTTCACTGGGTATTTCCATGATTAGTGGGAACCATTTTACAGCTAACACCAGTAAATATTAACACTAGTCAAGTGAGATGAATTGAAGAAATTGTATACAACATATCACCATGACAGGTATGCTCATCTCCATGAAAACCAAACCTTTCAGTGTAAGTATCAAGAAAGGATCAGCACTAATTTGAAACTATTTATTGCTTCATCTCACAGACTGAAACACTGTGGTATGCAAAATCACATCTAGTGAACAGCTATGTGTATGTGGGTAGTTCAGTGGTATCTGAGAGCTCTACAGGCAGCTTCAACAGAGAATCATCTTACCCTTCCACAGAAATGGTCCGCTGCAAGCTCACTGTGGGTGGACGCGTTGCAGTGCTGTGCTGGGAATGACTGTATGACCAAGGGAGAATAAAGAAAAGTATTTGTTAAAGAAATAGAAGTTTCCTATGTTCTTATTGTGTCTAGCAGTTTAGCTAATGGCAAAACAGATACAACAATCAGATTGTTTTACATGTTTCAAGAATTTTGACTTTGGTGATGCTCATTTATTCAAAAAAGGGTTCAATCATACAATCTCTCTTCTTTAAAATCAGCTTTTATTTCTCATTAAGAGCAGGTAATTAAGAGAACAATATATTTCTTATTCTGTTTTTTAGTGTATATATATATATACACACAGAGTTTAGTAACTTAAATGCTAATTGTTCTGTTAAATATACTAAACATAAAATGCAAATTTAATTTCGGAGCAGAAGGTAAAACAGCAAATGATAATATTATCAATCTAATTATCAGTGTTTCTCAGGCAGAATTCTCAGTTGAAGAGGATATTCACTGTTTAAAATTGCACCAGGATACAACTTCAACACTAGCTCTGTCAGGTTTTAAGTAGCTTGAGTCTTTCCACATGGAATTTTATCAATCTAAGACACAACATTTAGAAAAAAACATATTTTCTAAGCAAAACACAGACTCTGTGAAAAAAAAGTCTTTTTGATTGAAAACCCTGAGGTCTAATGTCTTCTCATATGTTATAGTGACATGAAGAAGAAACATTAAAAAATAATTTCTATGTTAAAACTACTCAATATGCGTTAACTAATGTCTTGTACTATTGTATAATAATATTGTAAATATTAGTGGATAACAACACAGCATCAGTCAAAGGCAGTTTTGTGATAATAAATTGTATTCCTTATCCAAGACAATCTGTTTAAATAAAATATTAAAAAGCAGAAGCATCTGGGTTATCTTCTGATTAGTTCAAATGGTTACAGCATGTAGTGAGGCCCCAGTATTAATAATGCAAAGTACACATTAAAAATAAATCTTTAGGTCAGTTTTATATCACTGATTCTACTAACTGCAGACTTTGTCTTGCTTTCAAGCTTTGTATACATCTCAACCTGTTTGTTCACACCTTATTTTCAATAGAAGCTACTTCATCTGACATTAGTGAGCAACATATCTATTTTACATGCATTTCATACTGTAGCATAGCCAATACTATCTGACAGAAAAGATGTAATTTTTTTATGTGTAACACACAAAAGAGTTGCTATCATGCCACAGGACAAACGAAAGATCTGCTGCTTCCTGCTATTTCCTGTTGTCACCATTGTGCTTGTGTTTTATGGTAGTAAACTTCTGTACTTATTCTTACTCCAAGAAGGTTTTAGAAAGTTTTTGAAAAAGTATATTGCCCTACCAAGAAGAGCTAAAGAGCTTTTTATCTGTTTTATAACAAAATACATTCAGGAGTACCATGAGTTTCTGGCATCACAGCGTGAACAGAATAGTTGAGTTGGACAAACACTGAAGAATATTTTAAGAATATTGGTTAAAATTTCACATTAAGTTTACATTTCAAAAATTATTTAGGATGTGTATTTTAAACTACCTTTTTAAATACTGTTTATGCATTTTTAAAAATCTAAAGTTTGGATTGTAGTTTGTCTTCTGTCTCTCTCCTCTCCCAACTGGGAAGGGAATATACGTCCTCATGTCTCTGTACTGGTGTCCTGTGCAAAATTAATAAGGAAGGGAACAGCCTCCTCTCTTAATTTCTCCCCTGTACACATGAGTCAGAAGTGGCACAGTAGAGCCATAACTCCTCCACCTTTTCCCCGTGCAGCTTGACTCTTGGAAATTTTATTCCCTGAAGCTGAAGAGATGCAAGAATATGGCTGGTATAAGGAACTCAGCAGAGAGGAGGGACAACGAGGTATGTCACAAGCCTCTAATCACATTGTACATCAAGGTCTGTTCCAAAGAGGAGAATGGAAAAGCTGTGCCTGAGCTGTGCTGCTGATGCCAAACCCACAGTAAGACTTTAAACAAACAGTTCATATCCTTGCAACAGATGCTACATATTTTGCGGGGAAACAAAATCTATTAACAAAGCATGGCAAGGTAGCAATCAAAGGTTTGATGGAGGAATTTGGTTTATTTCACAAATGTGTAGTGTTACGGTTTTCAAAGGAATGTTGCCTCAGGAAATGGAAGCAGAGGAATGACAGCTGATATGGCACTTTGCCTTAAAGCTTTTAAGCCATCTCTCCTTGTTTCAAGATTTCCTCCTTACTACCGCTACAGCATAACTTTTACAAACAGAGCCAAAATATCCATCCAAGCACAACTGCCCAAATTATCTTGAATTCTGAAAGCTTTTTTTCTTTTCACAAAAAGATTTCAGTATTGCCCTGTATTTTTATTACAGCAAATTTATTTGTGTAACTCTGACCAGCTTCAAATAAGCAAAATTACAAGAGTAATAAAGGTAGAACTTTCAGCTGCTACATACTAAAGCCAAATAATTTCCCGTTTATCTACAGAATTAGTAACCGAAGATTATCACCAAGCCATATTGAGTAGTAAGCACTTGGGATGCGACTGTTCACATGTTGCAAGTTAAAGAAAAAAAAAGGGACTACATTCAACAAGGCTATTTAGAGCAGTGAATTATTGCTCCTGCACAGAGATTCAAAATGAGGAAAGGAACTGCTCTGATCACTGTTATAGACTCCCAGGTCCCACAGTGATGCTGCATTTTACAGATGAATTCAACTACCTTGGAGGATTGATACTTAACAGAGGCCACTGTGCAAAACTTGAAGGTTATAACCTCTCTGTTTCTAAAAATTTTACATAATGGATGAATAAAACTAAAAATTTTGCCACCTTCTACTCACAATAATCTTTACAGAATTAGTAAAACTATTAGATTTTTATAAAAGATCTCTGCTTGACATCACACACTTTTCTTTAACATGGAACAAATTACCTTTCTCAACACAGACCTGTCGAGACCTAAAGCTGGTATTGACTGGACTCTCATAAATTTATTACTGGATTTCACTATTTATGTATGTTTAAAAAAATGGACAACCTTTTATAAATGCAAATTATTATTGTTTAAAACATTTTATCTCTATTTAGATAGGTTGATGAAAATGTTATTTATTATCTCTCTAAGGAAATTTATTGTTGAAACATAGAACTGAAATGAGAGCAAACAGCATTTCTGGAAGTGATTAGGAGCATCAAATTACTTGATTTTGGGAGTCCAGCCTAAAACATTTCAAAATCCTGATTTTCCAAAAGAGGATATTCATCCCTTTCAGAAGACAAGGTGTGCAACATCTCAGCAGAAGAGTAAGGTACCCAAAATTCACTGACCACTCTTCTCAGCCACTTAGGAAATCATGCTGTGCCACCACATCTGCTTGGTAGCTATAAAATCATAGAAATAATAGAAAGGTTTGAGTTGGAAAGGGCCCTAAAGATCATCTAGTTCCCCTCACACCATATTGTTATGACTGGGGCAAGAAGAAGCAGCAAATTAACAAAAGGATTATCCAGACAGGCTGTCAAAAGAATATTCAAAGGGAAAAGCAGATCTTGGGAAAACAAAACACATTTCAATGTTGGAGTGAAAAAAAAAGACTAGGATAGCAATATTTTCCATTCATCAGATGCTCTACTGAGTAATGTAATCCCATGAAAAGTATGAATTATATGAATGATTTCAATTCAATATTCTCCTGAAATTACTAAATCTCCTAAGCACTAGATGCCATCAGCATCCCTCACTGGAATGACTACATCACCATGCAAAGCTGTGCAAGGAACCTTACAAAGGCTCATCTTCTTTCATGAAAATAGTTCAGAACTGGTGAGATGAAAATTCATTTTTTGAACATAATTATAAAAATCAATTTTGATGCCTGATACAAGTCTATGCCTTCTCAGGTATCATCATGAATATAATGACACCTAAAATTCCAAAACACAGTTTAGACATTGCTTGACACAAGTGGCTATCCAATCAGAGGTTTTCCCTGAAGAAAAGAATCTCACATTCTGTAAAATACCAAT